CATAAAGGGGATTATATGGTAGTTTCCCAAAATTAGGGGACCCCAATACAGACCCCAAAATACTATAGTCCTTATTATGGGGACCCCCAAAATGGTACCCCTAATTTTGGGAAACCACCATATAGGGTTGCAGGGGCTATGTCGGGATTATATAGGGATAATGGAAAAGAACATGGAAACTACTATAATGTATCATGAGATACAATAACAAGATAATGCACTACTAGAATGTACTATGATATATTATAATCTATTATGAGGTGCTAATCTATTAGGGGCTGCAAGGAACTGTTAAAGGGTCACTGAGGGATATTGCAGAGGCTTCATGCTGGGCTGGCTCTGGGCGTGCAAGGACTAAGGTAGTCTGACCTGGGACAATTCCAGCTGCTCTATTGCCTTTACCTGTTCCTTTTCTGGTTAGCATGTCTTTGTCGGCATGTTGTAAGTGTGGGTTCAAGCCTCAAACCTTGTGGCTGATCATGCATGCCATTCTGGTTGATCAGTGAACCAGTTCCCCCCTGACAAACTTGGCCTCGAATATGGGTTCAGGTCCTACACTTCTGTTCCACAACGAATGTCTGGTCTGGTATGAGTACGCAGCTAATGTAGGTAGGGTTTTGCTACGTTGCTCTGTGCCCCAATGCTCCTGCTATACTCAGAGTGCACCTCCCTTTAGACAACCAAAAGCTGTAGCTTGGTACTGCTAGCTGCTAGGCTTCTACATCCCCGTCGGTGGACTGTTCTTTGCTTTGATGCCATGCCTGTGAGCTCATACAGAAGCTCTGTGAGTTCAAACAGAAGGACCAGCTTGCAAGGACAGATCGCGCGTCTGAGGAGAAAAATGATCAACACTGTACTCCCACTGCTGGTTGAGCAGAACTGTTTGTGCACCTCAGTGCTATGCCCGCGTCCTGTAGTTGTTTTGTTTTTTGTGTGTACTTTAGCCTTACACGAAGTGCAAAGCCTAAGACCTTGTAAAGCCCCACACTCAGTTTGGGTGTATGTAATACTGCAAGTAGATTTGTCCTGCGGATATCCCGCCTCATTATAGGACTGAAGGACTGTACTTTGCCATCAAAGAGTATGTTTCTAGTATAGGGCCATATCCGAGCCCTGGTTCAGATGCCCCTAGCATCCCAATGTTTCGGGGCCGGCAACCAGATTTTCTCAAGTCACCTGAGAATGCGCTCTAAGGCGTAAGCTGAATCTGCTTCATCCCGTGGCTTCTGGCCTAAGCGGGCAGCTGGCCCTGGATTTAGGAATGTTAGGCCAAATGTTAGGCTTAATCACGTGTGGAGAGTAGGTCTGACCACCTCGTGCATAGACCCCCTCAGCTTCCCAGGTTAGAGTAAGCATCTTCGATCCGGTGTGATGGGGGCGAAGGAGAGCGCGTGCCGAGCCAATGCGTGCCAATGTGATCCGAAGAGTGCTCAATTTGAGGTCATCGTGGCCACGGCCCCGAAACCAATCCCTGCAAGGGAGGAGGAAGCGGAGGAGGCGATGCCCAAAAAACACAGCCTTGGCATGGCAGTGAAGTACAAAGACACGGACGTAGAGGAAGATGACGAGACGAGGGACGCAGATCCTCCACGCTCTGACAGCAAGTCCCGACGGAGTAGACTCTTGAACCATGCCTTGGTTCCTCGCGGTGGGTCTTATTTAGTTACAGTAGGCCCAATTTTTTCTTGTTCATTAGTGACCCAAATACGGTAACAGTCGTTTTTTTCTTTTCCTTCGCTCCCTCTTATCTGTGAGGTTCCTGACATGGACATCATGCGAGGCGTTTCTATGAAAGATACGCTGCTCTTCGCAGGACGTATCTGGCGGCTCTCTCCCACAGATGCTTGCTCGCTGCTTTGGTTTTAGGATTTGGGGTTTAGTGTTTCGGAATGGGGGATGGATCCCTATAGGAATCCTATTAGAGCCCCTGTAGCACTGCATTCCCGGCATATTCCACAAGAATAATCCATGCAATGTTCCGCCAAACCCATTTCGCCATTCTCAACTTGGGGAACTAGGCATGGCCTCAGGACATGCCTGAGCGAGTCCGAGCTGGCTTGTGGAACCGATCAAAGCAGCTGGATCACTTTGATGTCTTCCTGTCCCACACCTGGCTGACCAAAGGCTGTCGATATTAGTATTATTATTCCTGGTATTCCTATTGTGATACTAATAACTGCCCAACTTATTGCAGGACGGTCCAAGTTCCTGTCCTTGGCCTTGCAGTGCGGGTGGCGCCACATTGTTCTCAGCTGGTTCCTTGCAGTGCTCTTCGTAGAGTCCCTGGTTCTGATGGATCTCCTGCCTAGCCACACCCAACTGAAGGCCACGGGAACTTCTGCCTCTTTAAGAGAGATGTCCAGAGGGGCCTTTTTTGGGATCGAAGATGACGTGTGAAGAAGTTCAGTGGTAATGTACCACAAGACTCTCAGTGACACCGCACCAGAGCTATCATTCTTGTTACATGGAGCTGTCGGGACCTCTGCTCCTACCCACACTTCCGCAGTCTTCACTGCCAAGCTATGGAGCCTTTGACTTCTACTTTCTTCATGTTAACCCCCCTCATGCACATCATCACATAGTATTGCCTGGACAGTTTTGGTCATAAGCAAGGTTGTTCTATCCAGGCCTACTACGCACCGTTGTACGCCTTACCTGATCATACACGCCTTTAAGCACACAGTAAAGTTGCCCGCATAGTTCTAGAACCGATTGGCAAGCATGAAAGTCACATTTGCTGCTCAAGACCCATTTAGACCTTCAACCCCACGCTCTTCAGCCAGAAATTTATCAAGTCTATGACTGGGACATTAATTTGCTATTGTGCCCATGCGCGGCCAGGTGACCTATCAAGGAATGAGATACCTTTGCCCTTTCGGAGCTTCGACTTTCATGGGTTCTATGAGGTCGTGTTGAAAGTTGAGATTTCACTGTTTCGCGCTGCTATGGGGAAGGTTCAGTAACTTGCATGATAGTCATGGGATTTCGGCTGGGTTTGCGCGGGGTATGTAGAGAGATTTTGCAAGGTATTCATACTGGGGGGTTCTTCAGACAGTTCATAGGGTTTTGTGGGGTTGAGCAAGAGACAAGAAGATCGCAGGATTTCGTTATGATTTTTAGAGATTTGTGGGGCTTTTGTTTGGGGCTTGGGTTTCGGGGGGCATAGAAGTTAGGTTTGAATGGGACTGCATGCCATTTGAGCCCCACATGCCTGGGCATCGATGCTTATCCGGGTGGGATCTTGGAGTTGAAGGTTCAAAGGCGACCGAATGGCCCCTAATATAGGAGGTCGGGGCTTAAGGAGGCACCTTTAGAAGGGGGACCATACACAAGCACATGAAAGAGTCCCTCTTGAGGAGAGATGAGTATATCCATGCAACTTCATACCCTAAACCTCAAGCCTTAAACCCTAAACCCCCAGACCTAAACTTCGCGCCGAACATCCTCAGACCTCGAGCTTGAGACTGGCTCCTTCAGTTCGAAAACAAGTCGCAACCAAAAGCCCTCAACATGATTTTTCTTGGAACTCGAGCTCCAGCTGTAATGGGGGAAGTCCCAATTTGGGCGTCCCTGTAAACAAAATCCTCATTACTGGGTCCCCGAAAGGGGATCCCTAGTTTTCGGAGGCCCCCCCATGTGTGGCAGCAAGGAGCTTGGGGGCTCTACCTTGGCAACCTTATGTCGCTGCTGGCATTTTTTGCCGCTCCTGGGGGTGCTGGACAGTTTTGCTTCCTCGATGTGGCCAGCACCTGGGTACGCAGTTGCAAGACTTTGGGTTGAGGGTTCGGGGCATACACCCCAAAACATTAGCTCAGGGCAGGACGTGGCATTTGTGGCCTGTGGTCCCTGATATTGAACACCCCCCCACTGCCCAGTATAAGATATGTGAGGAACAACTTTTTGTATTGGGATTTGTGTGCACTTCAATGGGAGCGATTACGTCCTGCCAGGTAAGCATGCATAACAATAGCGCACAAAGAACCAAAATGCAAGAACGAGGATACCACGCAGATACGCCAAAACCTGACAACCATGCTTTTTGATGGGTGGTTGACTTCAAGGGACAGCCTGTACAACCGGTTCGTCACGAAGGGAAACACAAGTATGATGAGGCTCCAGCTTTGGTCTTTCTTACTCAGACCTCTAAATCACAAGCCCTGTGATAATCCTATGTAGCGCTTATCCACCAACCTCAGAATCCACAAGCTCCATAAGATCTATCCAGAAACCGGCCTTGAATATGGGTTTAGGGTTCAGAGAACTTCGAGGAGTACAGGGGGATTCTCGGGATCCCTCTCAAGGAGTGTATTGGGTAATTCTTCGAAGCATCACCACCAGCTGCATCGTTACCACCACTATCCTTTCATGTGCGCTGTCAATGTGTGTTTTCAACACGGTAGGATGCATATTTGGGTTGTGCTAGATTCAAATACGTTTGTAAACGCTTGAAACTCCGAACTAGGGCGAAGCCAAATGAGGACGATTTTCCTGCATGGCAGCTTCTCGAGATCCTTGTATAATCTCCAAAAGGAACCCTGTAAATTTCCTCATGGTACTCTTATACCTAATTAACGGTTCCCGGCTTTTTGACATGTCTTGCTGTACGGCTGCCAGGGAGCCCACCCCAAAATGCTAAGCACCCAGGTATCAACCAAGTGGATGAACAGATGATGGAGCGTGGCATTTACGGCCTTGGCGGTTTCTTATCTGTATCCAAGGACCAGCCAGAGGGCGTTCATGGTTTGAGTGTTTTGAGGTCTGGATTGGGCGTGCTGGGAGGAGGGGCTTAGGGGCTAAGGCATAGTGCCAACCGGATTAGGCTGAGCATTGTTTCTTCGGACGCTGAAGGTTTCAGTGCCTGTGACGATGGCGAAGGTTCTTTTGATTTTCGTTTGCATGCATGACCGGAATTCAATGTGAAGTTGTTGAGTTTCGGCAGAAGTTGAATGTCAAGTTGATGAAGATTGGGATGTCGGCTGCAGTTCAAGTGTGGTCGAAGGTTGAAGGCAGGGAGACCGCCAATCCAATCCAATTCTCTAACCGCTTCGCTCTTCACCTTCACCTGCCTGCCACGAGGCTCTGACAAACCGATGGGGCAAATCTCAGCAGTGCAAGCTAAGTCTTAGAGAAACTATAGTCGTGAATGTCATGAAGAACGATCATCGGCCAGATATGCATTCTCTGTTTCCAGGAGTGATAGCGTACAGAGTGAAGAACCATTACCGCCTATATACTCATGCTCTAAATTCATGGCGGTTCAGATCAGAATGCCGTACAGAACCTCAAAGTGCTGTTCTTACCAGAATATGCAGTGTGGAGAAGCTTAAGATAGGCAGTCATTTAGCGAAATCGAAGCCATCTGCGGGTCCAAGCTTCCCTCTCTCCGGAGGAGCTTCGCATCTTGTGGTCAAGCCCATACTTGTTGCTTGCCTTATTAGTAGCAGTACTGGCAGTACAGTTGCTACCATGGTTCTATCATGCCTGAAAAGTCTGGATTGCAGCTCTACTTGGACACTCAAGGGCTTCTGTCGTTTACGCAGTATCAAGGGTTGCCCACGACACTTCTCTTAGGATTAAGTGTACTTGCGCCTATCTCACTAGGTGGTAAGCACAGCACATACATAGCAACGACAAACGAAAGCAGCGGCGACGACGACGCCCGCACCGCCACCGCCGCCACCGCCGC